AACTGTGTTTTTGCTACTGTTATGAATCATAATGTAAATATCTGTGTTTACTGATGGTCTTAGGCAACCCTTGTGAAAGGGTCATTCCACTCTCCAAAGGGGTGGTGACCCACAGGTTGAGAACCACTGATCTAGAAGAAAATGAAAGAATCTTCTGGTGCTAGTCCTCATCTCCCTGTCTCGGCTTAGCCCCTGCATGCCTCACCTCCTGTATGATGCTTGCAATAAGGAGACAATTATAATACCTTGATCATCACATGGAATGGCATGCCTCTCTGTGTCCGGGATGCTTTGCCACCTCCCTTGCGCTTTTCCTGGACATCCATCTTCTCGTGATAGTCTCTTTTTGTTCTGAGAAGGCATTACCTTCAAGAGACTGCCGAGCTTGGCGTGGCACTCCTGCCTTGTACTCGCGTTACACACCCCTTTCCTTACTAGATAATACTGAGAATGACTCTTTACAGCTTTCCGTCCACCTTAGATTATATGTGTCTCATGAGAGGCATTATATTTTTATTCATTCCTATATCCCTGAGCCTAATCCAGGAGAGATGCTCAACAGACGACTCTGAACTAATCAATCATGTAATAAATTAGCAATTCCATTTTGCACCATAAATTTTTGCCACTATGCCGGTAAATGTGGGTTTTACTTAAAATGGATAAAATTAAATGCTTTTGAATAGAGACGAAATTCCTTATTCATGCCCCAGCCCTCATTTCAAGCTCATGTTCTATCATCCTATGGGTTGTAACCTGGTAAGGGCCATGAAATTAATTCCTGGGTCACAGCTGCCATTATTTTAATGAAAAATATTAGAAGCAGAAGAGAATAGAATGACTCTTACATCATTCTTCCAGCTCTGTTTCTAGTATTCCGTTATTTTCATTTCTCCCTCTGCTTCTCCCAAGTCGGGAGAAGTACTGATAAATAATAATAACAATAAGTACTAATAAAATAAAAACTTGGGGAATGAAGCCCCTGCTCTGATTTTTCTTCACCATGGAAAGCAACAGAGCTCTCCAAGCAGGCCTTGATGTCATTCCCTGAAAAAATGGGGACAATAATACAAGTTAGGGCTGGGGAGGTAGTAAAGTTAATGCAAGGATCTGAGTTCAATCTGTAGCATCCAAATTCTTAAAAACCAAGGTGAACAGCTCCTGAGAACTCTGGTACATATACACATGCATGCGCACAAACACATACACACATTGAACATACACACGCATACAGTAAGCTGGGTTTGGTGGTGTAGTTCAGCAGAAGCACATTTGCCTGGCACTCATAAAGCCCTTGGTACCATTGCCAGCACCACAAATAACCAAGAAGCACAGAGTGGAACCAATGGGCTGGTACAGAAAGGGGCTGGTTTTCCCTCAAGTGCTCAGCACTGTTCATCAGCATTTCAGCATGAAGCCACCAAGCACCAGAAGCAGACAGTACCCCAACCTCCTCTGCTCTGCAGTCCAGCCCCTCTGGTCTGTTCTGAACAAGCTTCCCAGCTGCCCATAAGCTGTGACACACTTCCGAGACTCCCAGGCTTGAGAAAATGCATGCACTTGGGGGCATTAGGCAAGCGTCCAAGTCCTGGAGCCCAGGGCCATAAATTCTGTCTTTCTAAATTGTGAATGTGACCACATCATACCTCTGCTTCACAACCTTCTCCGGTGCCCCTTACCCTCAAGATGAAGCACTGGGTCCCTAGTATCACCTAAAAATGTCCTTTTAGATGTCCCTTCACCCTGCCCAGTCTCCCAGGCACCTGCATCTCTCAAGCTCTCTTGGCCCCTGACCCTTCTACACTGCCCTGACTGCCCAGAACACATCTCTAATTCTCTGAGGTCTCCGCTAGGCATTAGCAACTTCTAGGATTCTGTCTCACCCCCTCCATGCCCTCTGCCTGCTCCGGATTCCATGCCCCCCTCTATGGTTGTCTTAGTTATGGTTTCTGTTGCTGTGATAAAAACACTATAACCAAAACAACTTGGGGCGAAGAGGGTTCATTTCCTCTGACAGCGTGTGGTCCGTCATCCAGGAAAGTCAGATCAGGAAACTCAAGGCAGGAACAAAGGAAGAGTGTTGCTTACTGGATTACTCCTCATAGCTTCTTCGGCCTGCCTTCTTGTAGTACTCAGGACCACCTGCCCCAAGAGTGGCCCACCCACAGTGGGCTGGGCCCTCCCACATCAATTACTGACTAAGGAAACGCCCCATAGGCTTGCCCACACACCAATCTGGTGGGCCTGGTTTTCAGCTGAGGTTCTCTCTTCTTAGCCAATACACTGGCCCCTCCATTATAGCACTAGCTTCAGCCCTGATTCTGCCAGCTGCTCCTGTGTCTCTCTTGCTCCTCAAGGACAGGGTGGTGCCTTTTGTCCCATGTCCCCAGCATCTAGCATAGCACCTCCCTCAGGTGGCACAACAGAAAGAGGGAGGGAAGGCAGACGGTGGGTGAAAATTCTTCATCTGATAAACCCCCAAATTTCCAAGGTTAGGAGGCAATTCAAAACCTTGGGACTTGGAGCCATTTTCTAAGTACCAGGCCCCTGCAGGCACAGTCTCAGGAGAGAAGGAAGCCCCAGAGTGAGGGGGCTCAGAGAGCACCAGGGCATGCTGTATGCCAGCAGCACATTCCCATATATTCAGAGCTGGAGGAGGTTTTCTGGGAGGAATGTAGGCTTGTACAAAGCCAGGTTACTGAACACTGAGAGACCAGCAAGGATCCAGGAGCCTGAATGTCTCTGTGGCCTGAACATTCTTAGGGTGAGGCAGGGATAAGACTATTCTCCCTACTACACTGAGTTTAGTGTGTGTGTGTGTGTGTGTGTGTGTGTGTGTGTGTGTGTGTGTGTGAAGGTACATTGAAGGTGCGTGTAAACTGTGTGCATGCATGTAGAGCCCAGAGACTAATGTCAGATCACCTCCTCCAATGACCTCTACATCTTATTTTTTGAGACAGGGTCTATTTCCGAACCTGGAGCTCACCAGTTTGGATAGGCTGGGTAGCCAATCAGCTCTAGCCTCCCCTGCACTGGCATTGCAGATCAGATATGTGCCACTTCATCTAGCTTTTTACATGGGCCCTAGGGATCTGAACTCAAGCACTTAGACTTGTATGGCATGGCTTTATAGACTGAGCCAGACATCTCCCCAGGGCCCAACTCTAGACTTTTGGCCGTTCTGTTTCTACCACAATGAACATGGACGCTGGAACACAGCCATGGTGACTGAACTCGTGTCTCCAGGGCCACCTGTGTCAGAGCACAGAGCCTTGTCAGGACAGCAGAGCTGATACTGGCTAGTCAGGACTAGGGGCACAGTGGACATTCTATACAGCCCATTTCATTTGATTAACACACCTAAAAAAGAAGACAGTAAGTTGAACTTTACAGATGAGGAAAGCTAAGGACCGTGGAGGCTGAGGAACTTGTCTCAGCTCACGTAGTGAAGGACCAAGCACAAATTCAAACATAATTCTGACTTCAGGTCTCTTGCTGTCTTCATGCTGGATTCCTAGTCCTCAGGAATCTCTTCATTAGAGTTTGAGTCCAGTGGTCCTAGTATGAGAGAGGATGGAACCTGGAAGAATGGCTCTGTCACCACTTCCACTGCTAAGCTAGGCACTAGGTAACAGAGATGCATCTGTTAATTGGCAAACCACACCCAGCAGAGATATCCCTGCGATCCTGGTGCTCATCATCCATCCCTGCCAAGGGAGGCACTGACTCCAGCCAGATCACCAAGGGTCAGGAGGTCACCTTCTACCCCGAGGGTAGTGCTTCCACTTTAACTGTTGGCTCCTGGCACCAAAAGTGATTTCTTAGCCACACAGCTCTGGAAGACAAGGTGCCAACAAGCATGCGTGCACACATGTGCACGCGCACACACACACACACACACACACACACACCCTCTCTTGCCCCAACTCCAGACACTCCTCAGGCCCTGAGCAACCTGTCCTCCTGGGAGAGGGTATACTACCATGGCTGACAGGCCTCCCAGGCTCAAGAAAGGTAAGCAATGGAGGATGTTACTTTAAAGAACTCAGGACACCCCATCCCATCCTCCACCCAGAGCAGATGGCGACTGAGATCCCAATTTAGACTTGCTTCTCTCGAGCTCAGGACAAGGGTTCGAGTGCAGAGGACATTTACCATAGCGGCAACCATTGCAACCTCAGATGTCCAGTGATGCAACTGGGTCTTAAAGGGGAGGAAACAAGACAAAATAGGGCTGTGGAAACTATCTTTGGAGGTCTCAAGTAGAAAAGGCAGAATGTTTTTGTTTTGTCTTGTTTATTCCAACATTTCCCCTTCATGGTTTCCAGCAAGGCAGAAGTTAACTGCAAAACACATTTTTAGGATTGGTGGGAAGAGACATGTAACAAGCTTCCCCTGGGATCCACCCTGCAGTCCCCAAAGGGGTAATTCTGGCTGTCCCTCCTTGGTACATACTGCGCTGGTCAGAGCTGCCTTCGGACAGGAGAGAGGGAAACATGCTAATCACAGGCAAGCAAGATCCTGGAGTAAGGACTGAGCTCCTGGTACCCCAGGATCAAGCTACAGTGCTTGCTGACTTGAGTTGGGACAGAGAAAATGAAATGGAAACAGAGGCAGCTCCAACAATGTTTAGTGATGGCTCCTACTGAGTTCTCAGGTCAGAAAAGTGCCCATTATCAATGGCAGTGGCGTTAGATGCCAGTGTTCCCAACACTCTGGAAGCTCAGGCAGGAGGATCTCAAATCCAAGGCTACAATTTCAAAAACAAAACAAAAACCAAAACCAAAATAAACAATGAAAAACTGCTTCTCCTTTTTCAGTATTTGCAAGACAGATTCCAGAAATAAAGGGCATATGCACACACACACACCACACACACACACACACACACACACACACACACAGTACCTTCAAGATTCTCTGGCTCTCTCCTTGTATCCCCAGTTCTCACACATTCTACCATATACCCCACAAATAAATTTGACTCAATAATTATACACTTAAGGAAAACAGAAGAACAAATTTACTATTTCACCTAGAGGTTTTAAAGTAAAATTGCAGGCATAGTGATAAAAGTGAAACAATCAACTTTGTATTTCAGCTTCTAAAACAGATGGGGAGAGGGGAAGGTGCATGAGAAGAGGAATGGGGGCAGGAGGCTCAGAAGCTTCAGGGACCAAGTACTGAACACAGAACAGCAAGGGGAGTGCAAGGGTCACCCCAAGAGACAATCTCAACTTAGCGACTTAGTTCTGATTGTCCTCTAAAACGCAGATCTGGGTTGCCACACCTTGATTTTCAGAAGCCCGAAATTCTAATTCAATGTGGTGCCTCTTGATTATTAGAGGGCAAGCCAATTTTTCTTGGAGACATTAAATGAACTGAATCTAGTCGTGGGCCCTTCGGCTTTCTGTACTCTGCTGTACAGGTACAAGGCGTCCCCCCTAACTGTGGTGTTACACTGCCACTCTCCAGCCACTGTTTGCTATTGCAGCAGAGGCATCCAGCGTGAGGCTCTCAGCTTTACTTGGCACTGAAGACTGGCTGCAAGAACTCCGTGGGAACAATTGAATCCTCAGGAAGAGAAGGCTCACACAGGGGCAGAGACTGGCACCTTGAGGCTTTAAATGGCCGACTGCTCCTGCAAGAAGCCCTCGGGGTTGGGGAGGCTCTTGTCCGGCTCCGAAGCCAGGGCTGCCTCTCGAAGGACTTCCAGGTGCTCCTCGGCGGCAGACAGTGACTGGTCGATCCAGTCCAGGCCCCCGGTTAGGTGACAAGCATTCCTGGTCACTAGCACCAAGTGACTGACAGACAGGAGCAAGGCAGTTGTCCTACAAGGGGGAGGGGAGAGAGGGAAGAGATCAGGTTCAGCAGAAAGTGGGGAATTTTGCACAAAAGCCCAATGGATGCATGCTCTAGTTCCCCAAACTGGAGACCCTTCCCTGAAAGGTGAGTAGAAATACAAAGGGGTTGGCTGGCTTAAACCAAGGTTAACTGAAGCCTATCCTGGATGGTGCCTTTGTTGAGCTTAACAAAGCTCTGAGGGGAAATGGGAGAGCTGGCAAATATATTTCAGATGGTGGAAGAGGCCTTCTGCAACACACCCATTAACAGTTCCCAGAAGGGTGTTTTATCAAATAGTTTGGATGCGGTCAATTGGATGAGCAGATCCCAGCTGCTGCCCACTTAAAGATGGGCTATATATATCCCTCTTCGGTGAGCATCCCTTATTGATCACAAATCAATAAGCTCGAGGCTGGCTTACTCCACGCTAAAGAAAATGTAATTGAAAATCAAATTGAGGAGGAAGGTTTGTTTTTGTTGTTGTTGTTGTTGTTTCTCGATTTTTCTTTTTTTGATTGAAAGATTCACTATGAAATAATTTTTCTATGGCGAGTGTGCCAGATGTGTTCCAGGATCCATTACCAATTACCAACCCACAGAGAAAGCTGAGCAGCAGTAGGAACAGGGCAGAGAAACCAAAGCAGACATGTCATGACTTACTGGCCACCTGGCAACCATTACCCAACATGTCCAAGGGAGCCTCACAAATCAAATGGAGACAGCAGGTAGGTATTTAATGGGTTTACATTCAGTAGGGCCGAGTGCATTCTGCGGAGCGGGGAGAAGGGGGCTCCTGAGATGCCCAATGCGGAGTGGGTTCCACTGTGGCTGGGCTTGCTCACCCCAGCCCCAGTGGACAGTGCTTCCAGTGAGGTGTGGCTTCGTAAGTCCAAAGATCAGAGGGAGGAATGGGGAGTGAAGGGCAAGGCGGCACAGTGAGTACAGCCAGTTGAGCATGCAGGTCCAAGCCCGCTGCGGGCTTGCTCCCTGGTCTGGCGGACTCAAGAAGAAAGAAGGCTGGGCTCCCTCGCCTGCCAGGCGAGGCCTCACTGGATAGCTCACTGTTGACATGGGAGGGGATGAACCCCGAGCCAGGGGGGGGGCCTTGGAAATGTGGGGAGACATCCTCTCTGCCTGACTGCCTTGATGACGGTGACCCTGGAATGTGGCAAGATGGGTGGGCCTTGTCCTCGTCCCCTCTCACCGTGCATCCAGGAGCTTGGGGTCCAGCGGAGGGTACATTGACTTCACAACGTCATCCACTCTAAGGGAGGCGATAGGAGCTGCTGTCAATATTTTACTTTGTCTCCTCTTCTCCCTCCTTCCTTCCCATCCTCACTCTAGACCTCTCCGTTGGTAGTACACGCCCACTCTTCCCAGGGTCCTTTCTCGAGCTGCCTCTGTATGCCCAGACAGAGTCTAACAGGAAGAATTCAGGTTCTGTTGGAAAATACTCTGCTCTCTGCTTTTGCTTTCGTTCCAGTGGTTAAAATGTGCGAGGTTATTCAGAGGTTTACTACTACATTTAAAAGGCAATAGACAAGCAGGAGCATGCTGTATCCTTCTACATCTATAAATACAAACAATAAACCAAAGCTATGAAATGCAAGAGGGAAGGGCTAGAGGAATATTTACAGTTTAATAGTGGCTAATCTCCCTAAATTGGGAAGAGGTAGAATTAGGGTACATCTCACTTTTCAGATAATCTATTTCTGAAGTAGCTTAACTTCTATAAGCATTTTATAAGCATACGCTTTTAATTTTTTTTTAATGTTAATATGATGATATAGAATACTAAAAAAAAAGTCACAACTTAATTTGGGCTCAAACTACTCCATGGTGTATCTTTTCAATGCTGCATAGTCCATAGCTAATATTTTAAGTTAAGTTTCTACCTGTTCTGGTTGGTTTGTGGGGTGCAAGATTTTGCTCCCACGGGTCACTGGGTAAAAAGGAAAAAAAGAAAGAAACCTGTAACATTTGATTTCTAAGAGCACTAAGAAAACCACAGCCCTCACTCCCATCAGGCCTGAGGAGCGGGTACAGAGGTGGTCCTCAGCATCTGCCCCAGCTAGTCCCTTCCCTCTCTGCAGAACCGAAGGCAGAAGCCACCCTCCTTGAAATAACAAATCATCATCACTGACAGATGGAGAAATGACACAGGAAGAACATGGGGACAAACGCCAGCCAGAGAACACACTCCTGAGGGCAAATGAAGAAAACAGAATTCTGGCAAGAAACACAGAGGAAGTCAGCCAGGGGCATCTGCTGGAGCTCTATCCTCCTGGCAATGCCGTGTCCTCTGCTTGGCACACTGTCACTGCCCCCTCTCAGAAACCTCAGCACCCTAACACCCTGTTTATAACCTGCACCTCAGGGCCAGTCCTAGCCCCATGGCTGGGTCTCAGAAGTGATAAAAAGCACACACAAAGGGCCAGCAGATATGAGTACTGCACAGTCTAAAGGCAGCAATGCCTGGCACAAGTTGGAGCCTAGGAGGGTGGGGGCGCCTCATGCAGCCGCTGATGCTAAGCAGGTATTTTACACAAGTGGGGAAACTCCAGAGCCAAGAGCTACTCTGGCTTGCATCCTCCCCCTCACTTTCTCAATTCACTACCTAGACGGAGTTCAAGTTTTGAATTTCTCAGAGGATCTTCCAAGTTCCCCTCCTGGGCTTTACTAGGTTCCTCTCGAGACAGAAAAGGCTGGTGGTTGCTTGTGAACCCAGGCACCAGGAATGCACAGTGGAATCCATTCAAGGCAGAGGGGTCAAGTGACTGATAAGAACACTTTTCCTGGAATGGGTCATTTGACAGAAAAATCCACATACCAGCCACCAGGTGGCAGCACACATTTAGCACAGCCTTTTGCTCTAAGAAAAGGGCCTTATTTTTCTTCGCAAAAATCTAGTCCAAATGAGGGGGTGTAGTTGTTGACTGAGGGCCTGCTGGGTACCTCCCACAGGGGATTTTTGCAGACAGCCTGGAATTCAGGAGTTCTGAATGTGGCTTCACCTCCCACCCAGTACTGAGCTGAGAACCAGGAAGTACAGAGGGCCACCGTGAAAGAAAGGTAGCCCCCAAACTAGTCCCCAGTACAGTTAGCAGGATGGACCTAGGGGCATGGCTGGGCAGTCACTGGAGATGGTAACATGGGAAGCCAGTGGGGAAGGCGCCTGCTGACTGCCACAGCCGTACCAAGAGAAGGGAAGCTGACCAGTGAGACCAGGAGTGCTTACTATGGAGCCGCGCACCCTCAGTCCAGTTACACTGTGCTGTTAAAGGGCCTGTGCTGGTAAAGGGGATGGAGGGTGACCCCCTCAGCTTAGGCATGTCCATAGTGGGCAGTTCTGAACACAGTCTCGATAACTGAGACAGCAGATCTCCTGTCTCACAGCACTGTGTAGCCTTGCTGGCTACCTCAGCTTCCCTTGGGAATTGTGGGACCTCACAGCCACTGACCACTCACCTGGGGCTAATCCTCTTGGCCACTACGATGATATCGCTGACACTTGCTGACGTCTTCATCTTGGCCCCAGAACCCATTGTCATGGCAACAAGTTTTTCTGTCAGAGTGTGGCAAATCTAATGTAACAAGGAGGAAAGAGGTGATGAAGGGTGACCTGGCTCCCCAACCCCACACCAAGGGCCCTGCCACCCTGACAAAGACCAACACAACCCAACCCTGGGCACCACCACTAATCTGACTCCTACCCTGGTGATGAGAGGAAATGGGGTGGAAAAAGAGGCAAAAGCCAGTATAGCCTGAGTGGTAGTTGCAGGTTGCAAGGGGAGCTCAGATCAAGGGCAGAACTTCAGCTCAATGAGAACTAAGCTGGAATAATCCATCTGAGAGGAATCACGCGCTCTCATTTTACCACCTTGACTTGGAGGTACTTTCTATTCCCTCACCTCACAGTTTAGAATTCTAAATGAATAATATCTCCAGAGGGTCCCTGCAGAAATGGACAAAGGGGCAACTGTTCTCTTTAGGCACATTCTCCAATAACACCTGTGTTGGAAGTTTTTGAGGGCCGTGTGTCTTTAGTACGTTTCTGCAGGTGATGACGGAAAGGCCCTGGAAAAAGCAAGGCAAGTGCAAAATGACAATGCACGGGCTTCTTCCTCTTCCATCAGCACTGCTGGCCACCTCCAAAGGTTGCTTCCCCCCTCTGCATTCCCCCAGGCTAAAACCAAGCAAGCCTCTGTCCCTGCAAAGAAGCTCCACTACCTGCTGGTACTCAGGGCTAGAATACAGGACGACACAGAAGAAGAGTGGTCAAGAGGTCACTGGGGAGGAAGACCCACACTCTCCACACTCCCGCTTCAGGGGTGATGATGGAGCAGAGGTATCCTGTGGTCTCAAGAAGAAGCTCAGAAGCCCTTTTCTTTATCTGAGCTCCCCAACCCAAGAAGAGCACCCTCCCCTCCTCTGAGAGAAAAGGACAGGAGGAAGAAAAACAAAAACAAAAACAAAAAAAAAACAAACCAAACAAACAAACAAACAAAAAAAACCAGGATACATCGTGGCTGGGCAAAGGGAAATGTTGTATGGTTTGTTCGTTGCTTGGGCCAGTGAACCTAGCTATCTTTGCCTATAACCATATCTGTATGTGCAGCCATATCTATGCACCCAAGGAACTTCTTGACTCTGAGGCAACAATTGGGCTTTTTAATATCCTGTACTGAGTGACCCTAGAGAAAAGAGCTCTCTCTCTCTCTTTTGAAGTAGTGAATAATTAGTAGACAAGGAGATAAGGCTGCTGACATGCAGAAACTCATATTTGCATTTTGTTAAATATTTGCATGTCATTATCTTATTAGGAAAGATAATATAAAGTGAGAGTTGAGAAATGAATGCTGAAACTCTAAAAATGGATAAAGTGCAGTTTGGATGTAATTTTCTGAAGGTTTTAGGCCTTCGAAGACCAAAGTCTGCCTCCAAGTGGAAGAGCTTGTAGTTTGGATTTTTCTTTTTGGCAGCTCTGATTATCCCATTTGTCTGACTATTGTCACCAGAATGAAGAAGCCAGGGAAAACTCTCTAGTGACTGAAACCCAAATACAGAATGCATTCCCTGGACGGAGCTCAGTATTAATAAACAAAGGCTCCTAGGGGACCAGAGCCTCATTTGCTTCAGCAGGAACATGGCCTCAGATACACAGCTTTCCCCCCCAAGCTGTCCTTTCTATAGGTCACTGTGCTAAGAGGACCAGATGAGAAAAAGCCTAAAGAGGGCTTTCAGCATGCAAAAGTAAAACAGACCCAGTGGGGAGAGATTGCAATGGAGAGTAGAAAAACAGCCTGAGGCTAACTAGGGGCTACTTGCAAGGTCAACTCCGTGTACACCTGCCCGGCTCTGGCCACCGCCCTTGACCTCACAGGGAAATCAGAGTATTACCTTCAAGATGGCGATGCAGTGGGACATGAGGCCCCTGAGGAGACAAGAGGAAAGTGTCAGTGCTGCTCTGAAGAGCCCAACTCCTTTCAGCTACCGACTCTGCCCCTTAGCAGGCACCAGTGGGCACAGCAGGCACCACCTCCACGCAGAATTAGCAGAATTCCCCAGTGCTATGGAGTATACACATCCAACCCAAGCTTTCAGCCAGATCTGTCACTCCCTGCCAAGTTCAACTTTTTATATCTCGGTGTGTCCCAACATGACCTTCCCCTTAGACTCAGCCCGGTGAGTTCCTTTTTCAGTAAAACCCAAGTTAAAAGGCACCCATTCGGGGGAGGGGCTTGTGAGGCCACACCCTCCACAAGGGCCCATAAGCAGTTAATGGGTGTTAGGTAAAGAAAAGGAAAGACATTTTCTTACTTAGTGGTGTAGATATTGTTGGGATGGCCAGGCTCCTATAAATAATTCCTGTAAGCAACCCTAGTTAAGCTAAACTGGACACACACACACACACACACACACACATACACATACACACACATACAACATGAAAGAAGGAGGTATAAGGAGGACTGCTTAGGAAGCTCCCTGTCATCTTGATGTCTCTGCTGGGCCTGGCCCCACACCCTGTATATAGTGCCCCATAAGGGTACATCAGTAAAGAGAAAGACAGACGGATAATGAAGGGCACACTTCCTGTTGGACGGACAGCCCTCCTTGGGACACTGACAGCAGAGGCTGACTCAAAATCCCTGGGCCATCCAAGAATAACCCAACCACACTGGCGGGGGGGGGGGGGGGCTTTCTAATGATGGCTGCCTGGGTGTTCAAGTCTGCAGAGTAAAAGGAAGAACAAGAACAAACACTGTTGTGCCGTATGCCGCCATCCCTCCTGATGAGGACAGGAAGAACTCTGGGTGCACAGGGAAATGCCCTGGTAATGGGAATTTGCCATCCCAAAGGACCAGAAAGCAAAAGTTCCCCAAGGCCTTACGAGGCATCTTCAATCCAGTCTTCGTTCTCCAGAATGGCCTCGATGTGGGGGTTGGTGATGACGACATCATCCAGCTCTAACTCGGAGGGTTCAGACTGGGTCTCCATAGCACCAATGAGGTCCACAATGGGCCTAGAAGGAGTAGCCACGGTTAGAGTTTCGTGACAAGCAACTGTGGATGATCCTCTTCTCCTTGCAGCCACTGCTGTAGTGTAGGTCGTGAATGTTCCCGAAAAGCCTGGGTGTTAAAGGCTTGGTCCCCAGGGTGGCACTATCAGGAGGTGGTAGAGCCTAGTGGGAGGGCTTCAAATCTTTGAGGCTGGACCTTTGAGGCGGGACACTGGTTCTCTCCTTTTCCTCCTTTTCTGCATTCTGACCATGAGGGGAGCTGTTAGCTTTTCCACAAACTCATCCGGCAGCACCAACAAATGTCTAAATACAATGAGTACACCTGACCTTGGACTGGAACCTTTAAACCCAGGAACCAAAAGAAACCTTTCCTCTTTATAGTAAGTTATCTCATGTATTATGTCATGATGACAAAGGCATTGATAATTTAGAGAGGACACTTGCCCTGGATACAGATCTAATTGCAATGTGTCCACAGCACAAAACAAGGCGTGCAGCTAAACAATGGGTCAAGAAGACAGACCAAAATGCAGACAAAGCAGAAGGAGATGGACTGTTAGAGAAAGGGCAGAGTTAGCATGATTCCAAAGATGTCTTAAGTCCAGGGTGGTGGTGGCACATACCTTTAATCCCTGGGAGGTAGAGGCAGGTGGATCTCCATGAGTTCAAGGCCAGCCTGGTCTACAGAGAGAATTCGAGGACAGACAGACAAACTGTCTGGCTATACAGAGACTACACAGAGAAACTATGTCTCAGAAGAAAGAAAAAAAAAAGTCTTAGACAGGACAAATGGTCTTCTTTTCTTTTCCCTTCAAGCCTATACGAGTACGGAAAGGTTCACGTTCTGATCGCCCAAGCCTACCTGTGTCCCATAACTGGTATGTGGAATCACTTTTGGGAACCACTCCTCTGAGTATAACTACCTCCTCCTTCACAGCAGGGTTCTGAAGAAGCCAAGCTACAGAAACATTCTTTGCAAAGCAGAGCCTTCTGGGACATATGAGTGGGCATTCACAGATTGTTAACTACTCATCAAAGATGCTGACTGAGTTAAGAGGAAAAAAACTTCAGAAACCTAAGTTTGGTTGCTAACTTCCCTTACAGATCTCCCCACTCAAAATCCCTAAACTGACCTTGCTTGTGGAATCAATTTCATATCACTGTGCATGATGACAAAGAAATCCCCTGTGCAAGGAGACCGGCGCCCCTGTGCCTGGGACTGCACGATCTGGAACGCCTGTTGCTTAGGTGTGTGGCTGAGTGTGAGCATCAGATTTCTGCTCTGTTAGCTGGGGAGTGGTTTGGCTCATCCCCTTGCCAAATGAGGTAGCCAGAATCGCAAAGATGGGGCTTTCGTGTCAGGTGAGCACGTTCAGTGACTACCCCGTGACAGAATGAGCAGAGGAAGAGGGGCCTCAGCTCCATTCCTCCTGTCCCCCGGGTGCTCAACTCTCCTCCCTCTCCTGTCAGTCTACTCACTTGGAATCATAGCGCTGTAGGAGGTCTCGAGGCCGGCAGTAGCGCTGCCTACAGACCACCACCAAAGCAGCAAATGAGGCCAGGAAAATGGTGGCCAGCACGCCTATGGCGACGATCACCACAGTCTCCATGCTTCCGGGGGCTCCCAACTACAGTCCTCTCACATCCTCTGAGCAGGCGGAAGCTGGAGAGAACATGAGCACACCTGGAAAAGAGATGTCAAGGGGAGAGGCAGCTGGGTCTTACCCGCTGGGAACGGCAAATGAGGGTGGAAACGGTGGTGAGGCCCCTTCGAGTCACCCGCAAACCCAAGGGCCTGAAGCAAGGTGCATCTTATGCCATGCCCAAATTCCCTTCTCTTTTATGACAACGAGGTTGTTTTTCCAGTTAGAATGGGCTAAGTTTTGAAGCTGGGGACACATTTGCCCTGTCCGTGATGATTTCACATTACAAAAACGTGAGAGAAATCACAACAGGAGCAGAAGGTGGAGCTGTAGTTAGCCAGGAGCTCCTACGTAGAACAGGCCCTCTGTGTGTGTTAACTTGTCTAGCAACTACAGTATGAGGCAGGTGCTGGGGTCTCTATGATGAAGAAGCTGAGGTCTCAGGGGGTTAAGGAATTTGTCCACATCTACATAGCCGGCCAGCAGAAAGCCACCTGACCAAAGTGAAATCAACAGTCACCTTCCTTTTCCTTTCTAAGGAAGAGGGAAAACTGCAGTGAGTTCTGACTGTCACTGTCAGTGCTGGGAACTCATAAGTGGAGTGGAATAGTCCTTGCCTAACACCATCTGGGAGGCTTTCACATCAGCCGTCAGGTACGGCCCAGCTACATGCTTCTCTTCTGAGAACTGGACGGCCAGGTGTTACGGTCACTGTCAAACGCCCACACTGAACTTACACAAACCAAGAGCAGCTAAGGTGTCATTACATGACGCAATCCTACGGGACCACCCTCCTGAATGGGAGACGTTACTTACTGCAGTGTGATGCAGCCTAAACTCGGGCCAGAGGGCTCTCCGCTGCTTTCCTTCCCAGCAGGCCTCCCACAGGCATCCCTTTGAACAAGTCCCCTCCCCTTCCTGGGTTTAGTTTCTTCACCTACAAAAAAAAAAAAAAAAAAAGAGTGCTCTGCCTTAGCAGTCTGTACAACTCCAGGACAGCCCATCGATTCCATTTGCACTTAGTCTACGTGCGATGTTTATGCGCACGCCTCTGAGAATTCAAACTCTCTAGATGGTCGCCCAGGGAACATATATTGATCTCAATGCAACAAACACTGAATTCTGAAGAGTAGAGATGAGAAGACCCGGGCCCCCTCCCCCTCGTCCATGAACTGGTGGGGAAGGAAGATCCAGCTCCACGTGGACATTAACCAAGTCTCCACACGCGCAGTCTAGGGTAATTAATAAAGGAACTCGTTTGCATGGCACTTTCTAGAAAAGCCTCCTCCGAAGACCTGGGGCTGCCTGAGCTGGATTTTGAGGGATAGTTAAGAACGTCAGGTAAATGGAAACTTCACTGGCTTAAATTGCCAAGGAAGCCTCCTCAGCAGTCTGCAAAGCTGCTCTCTCAGAGAGTTTTTTGGGTTGTTCTTGTTTTTTGTTTTCTGTTTTGTTTTTTGTTTGTTTGTTTTTGTTGTTTTTGTTTTTTTGTTTTTCATCTTGTACTTCTCTGTTGGGGGCAGGGTCTCTAGAAACCTCTGTACTGTCTGCCCCTGTTCCTTGTCTACCCATGTTAACCCTTTCCTTTCCTCCTTCCTCTCTAGACCGTTTTCCTCCAATATCCCCTTCTCCAGGCTCCCCACGTCCTCATTTCTCCAAGCACCCCCTCCTCCCCCGCGTGCAGCCTTGCTCTTCTTCTCTCTCTTCCAGTAGTTTCCAGTGTTTCTCTGAGCGTCTGTGCTCTCTTGAACTTTCCCTCAGCCTTGCTCGGCGATCCCTCTGTGTGGGCGTTCCTTTGTGCACTTTTCTTTCTTTGTGTGTTCTCCGTGTTTCCGTGACTTTTCCTCTTTCTCTCTCGACCTCTTTCTTGCTCCACCTACCTCTTTCCCTCCCGCTCGGTTTGATTCTAAACCCAACAGAATCCAACCCTCTCTCCCTTCCTTGTCCCAGCCCCTCCACCCCGGGAAGGCTGCCACGGCTCTACGCGGTGTCTGGTCCCCAACTTGGGCGCTGCCCCGGGTCCGCCGTGCGGAACAAAGCAGGGTCTCGGTAGCCCACGGGGAGCCCTCCCGCCCCCCAACCCGCGTGCTCACTCACCTCAGCTGCAGCTCTGGGGCTCCCCAGCTCCCCCACGGTCCCCCAAGGCCAAGTCCGAGGGTTGCCCGCGGCGGTCAGCAGCGGGGCATGCCGGGAGGGAGGGCGGGCGGGCCGACGACCCAGATCCACCCCCGCGGGGCGGCCCAGACAGCGCACCCAAATCCCCCGCTGCCAGGCGCCGCCGTCCCCGCCAGGCCCCTGGCCGCCCGGGGATTGGCGTCGCGGGAGGCCCGGGCAGCTGGGAGACAGTCACTGGCGACCCGAGGACCCCTCCACGTGCATCCACGAAGGCCAGGGCAGAGGGGTGGTGCGAGGGCAGTGCGCTCGCACCCACTGCCCTCCAGCTGGCCATCCAGGGGCGGGGGTAGGAGCTCCCACAGTTTGCACAGTGCTGTGCCGCTGCCCAGCTGCTGTATGCGGACTGATTGTAGCTGCGAGCAATCTGACCTCGGTTCTCTTTGCCTTGCTGCCCTCCTCTGTGAGGATCCCAGGAACTGGTGTCAGGGTCAATGACACACAGCACGCATTTTCTTGGGGGAGAGTCTGGCCAAGGGCTAACAGTGAATCATCATCAGCCTGACATAAGTCTCTTGCTAATAATTACTGTCTAGCTAGGACCCTGGCAGGCAGCTGTGCCCATGATCCCATCCTAGACATCCTACTGCAAAGATGGCACACACCTCACTGGTCAGGACACAGTCCAGGCTGCTAACACTCACCAGCAGACTGCCCTCCAGGCCTCAAGATGCCACCTACCAGCAGTAGCTTAGTATCTCCGTGGTCCCCAAAGGCCTTGGAAACAGCCTTTGGGCTATTTGGGTAGGGATCCCAAAGTCTAGAGTATTAAGACCACGTTTTGCAATGGGAGATTAATGGACTCCAAATGGTTATATTCCTGGTCTGTCCTGAGAGAAAGGCAGAGCCAGAGACAGTGTGGACTGTCTGGGTCTAAGAAAACCCTACTTGCAAGGACCAAAGAATGCAGATTAGGTCTCCATCAACATGATGCCAATGCCTGCAAACCAGAGCTTGTAGGCCCATCTAGATCCCAGTACCTTTGTTAATTTGGTTTGTTTGTTTGTTTGTTTGTACTCCTGTCTTGCTTAGTGTTGCCCCGCTAGAGGTTGAATGTAGGAATTCCTCCATGTGATACAACTGTTCCACCCACTGTAAGGGAGACCCCCTCCAGGCAAGTGGTCCTGGGCCATCTAAGAAAGCAGGCTGAGCATCCCATGAGGAGCAAGCCAGTAAGCAGCGCTCCTCTGAGGTCTCTGCTTCGCTTCCTGCCTCCGGGTTACTGCTCCGAGTTCCCTCCCTGACGTCCTTTCACAAAGGACTACAGCCTGTGCGGTGAAATAAACCCTTTGTTCCTCAAGCTGCTTTCGGTGGTGGTAGTCACAGCAATAGAAACCTAGCTAGCCCAGGAAGACACTCCGTGTCAACATCCAGCCTAGTGGTAGAGTGAATCCAACTTGTACAAGGCTTGTTTGATCCCTAGCGCTCGGGAAGAGAAGGAGCAAGAGCTTTCCTTCCAATTCTAGTTGTCTTCCCTGGGAGAGGAGGCTGGGGAGTGGCTTTATCACCCTCTGAAGTGCTTTCATGCAGACCTTTGGAGCACTGTGCCTGTCCGTGAGGGAAAGTCCACAGCACAGCAGCAATTATCAGGAAAAGGCACTAGGAGCAGTGTCTTCATTTCCTGGAGATTCTCCAAGATGAACTGTTTCTGTTTGTCTTGGGGGTTGGATCATGGATGGCCTTAAGCTAGGCAGTTAAACTATATGATCTTTGTGGCCAGCTCTGAGATTTTTATGGCCATACAAGAGATGTAGTAGCCTTAAAATGAGCAACCACCCAAAGCTGATGACGTTAACTTGCCCAGAACCACATGCTGCCCATCCATCAGGCAGACAAGGGGGTTCTAGATACTGCATACCTTTCCCAGACCACTGCCCCCCACTATTCTAGAACTCTGCCTTTCTAATACCACTGAAGTGTCTCTAGAATCATCAGAGAAGACTGTGTCTGGCATTCAGTATTCTCCCTCGCAAGTAACAGAACCCAGCGCAGTGTTTCACATGGAAATGGAACCTATGTGCCCACAGGATCAGAGTGTAAAGGCCCATGTCAGGAAGTGGGCAGGCTTCAGGGGCTGTACACCATGGATCTGCAAGGAGTCTGATCACCCCCTCCAACCTTGTCCTTTGACCCCAAGTGCTGTGTAGGACCCGAACTTTCAGCTTCTTCAGTGGGGCTGAAACACAGGCAGTATCCGGGTAAGAGGGGTAGTCTTGGCCAAATTCAAATACCCCCAAAAATGTGGCTACTCCTCACCATGAATGAACATCAAACCACGTAGCAAGCATCCCCAAATCTACAACAGGAGCCCATAACTAGAGAAGAGAAGCAGGTTGGGAATGATGCTGACTATGGTGAGAAGGGAAAAGGTGTGCCTGGTTCTTAGCCCTGAAGGATGCAGGTTCATGCTCTACCCACACAACAGATGGACACTTATTGAGCACCTAGAATGTCTGTATCAGACAGTGAATTGGCACCTGACACAACATATATCTTCTGATTCTCTCACCAACCCCGAAATTTTAATATGATTATACTTGTAGAGGAAGGTCCTTGAACGGGTAAGACAACTCATTGGTCTCTGTCAGTGATACACAGTAGGGCAGGGAGAGGAACACAATACTTTCGGACACCAGAGGCAGACCACCAAACCAGGAAGCTGACAGCTCTTCCAGTTACCCGTGTGTAGGAACACGGCAGATTGTCCTGGTCCCAGCTGCAGCAAATGGAGCCACTAATGTCAACTTCATATACAACCCCATTATCAAAAACACACCTGCCCTGGGCTGGGGTGGAAGCAGGCAGTACGCTTCCTGTCTCGCTCCTTCCCAACCCGTGTTGGCCTTTCGCTGCTGTTAGCAGCTGCGTTGCTGCCTCTGTGTCAGGTGCCTCCTGGGTGACATAGCATCTAACGCTGTTTTATTTACTCCTAATAAATAAGTGGCGGCAGAGCAACTGTGCTACATGCGCAGGAGCAGATGCAGCAAAGCCCTTCCTGTCCCTATGCAAATGCTACCGGCAACATCTGTCATCTTCACTAAGCTGGAGGCAGAAAGGCGTCCTTCACGTCCCCCAGAGAGCTGGGAAAGAGCAGAAGCCTAAATCAGAGAAAGCACCATCTAAGCCCTTCTTCCCCGTATGGAGTAACTGTGTGATCTGGGACAGTGATGTAACTACAGGATTCTCAGCTTCTTGGGTGTGATTTGGCTCTTGTTATTACTTTAAACTGACTTAATTAGTCCTCTCTCTCTGTGTGCTTGTATGTGTGTGTGTGTGTGTGTGTGTGTGTGTGTGTGTGTGTGTGTGT